CATCCTCTTCCAGAACATTTAACTGACCTCTATAAGAAGAGCATAGTCCATTTATCATCATCACAGGCTCTTCAGGCAAAACATGATGTATGCTGAAGGAGATCTGGTGCATCAACTTCTATATGTTCCATGTCCTCGTCATCATCGTTCCTGGAATCACTATCTTCATGCTGACTAGCGTTGGCCTCCGTGAATCAGGGAAGAGAGAATGCCCAATTTATGTTGGAGACATTATCTGTGAAAATTGCAAAAAATTTATCCAAAATGCCAAAAGAGTTTATCACTTCGGTATATTGCTGCAATGTGGCTTTCCCTGTGTGTTGCCTGGTGAATCTGTTGCATGCTAACATGAATGAATGCATGTGCCAGTCAATAATGCAATGTCTAGTGATCCCGATATAGCTGTGGATTTGTCTATTAGTCCATATGTCAATTGTAACACATACACCATCTGCTGCTTCAAGGCAACTCTTGACAGATTGCAAATTGCAGATTCATTGCAGATTGAGTTACTTGCATTGTAGAGAAACACTGAAGACACATGTTTCCTGCTAAGCATCTGGAAGCGAGGTTCCAGGCTCGAGATGAGCTTCCTGAAGCATAGGCTCTCTACCACAGAGAATGGTACAGTATATTTGGCAATAAATGATATGAGGTCATCGTTTGACTTATGTTGTCGTAGATTGGTTGCTGCAAACGTCTTAGGTTGTGTGAAACAGTTATCCACACTTGTCTGAGTCTGTGGCCATAATTTCGCTGAAAAGCTATTTACCTCAACATCGGAATGGTTCCTCTGAAAATAGAAATAGTCGATATTAGTAGTTCAATGAATATTTGATAATAGCATTGACATATTAATATTGGACAAGAGTATCCTCAAAATACGATGTCTTTAACATCAGTATGAATTAGATAATTGCAGAATTTCCCCTAGCGTCATATGCAGTTTACAAGTGAAACAAAATTGCACACTTTCGTCAAATAGTAGTCATAGTCATGCATTAAATCACCATTTTATAGCATATTTGAACCCTTATAATTAAACTATAACCATCGGTTTCAAACCATTGCTAAGTGATGTGAACAGTTGAGCACCTGTCCTGCTAACCCTATGGTGAATGACCACTATTGAACAATATGGTATAACCTTTTCTTTTCTCATTAGCTCTTCAATGATGAATTGAAGAACATTAAATATAAACCATGAAAGACTTATTGTAATGATATACATGTACATATGCTTCCACAAGTTGGTATTTGCTTCTGTGCTGGCTTTGATTTCAATAGTACAATGTTTGAATTGAGCCATAATTTTCCCTTTCACACTTTTCAGTATGATAAAATGGTCGAACACTGAAGACTTATTCGTTGTCATGATTATAGAGTGAACTTCTTACTTGTAAGAAAATTAGAGTTATGATAATATATATCTACTGTGTCAAACTTTATACTTGAGATATTACACCTTAAGTGGCTCACATGACAATATCCTGACCAATGAGCTTGTTGCTATGTCATGATTGGAAGATTCACCTCAGTTGTCCCGGAATGGTGTCAACCCAGAGACACTGGCAAGGCTCGAAGCAATGTGTATCAGGTGTTATATTGGGTACAATAAAAAAAATTGAAGCAATGGGATACCGAGATATTGTCTGGATATAACTCAGGAGGTCATTCATATGGTGCCACTGTTCTGGAAGATTGGGTTGATAATAAAGTGTAACATGCCTCTTACCAACAGGGGTTCTCTGTGCTGCTAAATATCACTACTGAAGTATCCAGATGGCCAAATGCCACCTTCTGCTATATAGGGCACATTCTGCTCCTGACTATTATGTAACAGTAATTAGTGAACAAAGCAGAGAGTAGTGGGATAGTAGTATTGTCTGAATATAACACAGCAATGTTTGTAGTGAGAGCAAGAGTAGTTTGTTGCTTCTTGTATATCCCGAGTAAAACCAACAAGCGTTATCTTGACCACTGACTACACACTGCTCAAGTATCCATATCAGAATTTTTAGGATGCACTTTTAAAAATACTTGCCAAGTCCAAATAATTTGGTAGGCAAGTAAAATACAAGTACTTGGCTTTTCAAAAACATCAAGTACAAGTAGAGTACTTGATATACTCTTTTACTTGACCTCATGCCTGGTCATGATTTGATGTGTATATATTAGAAGGGAAACATGGAATATTGATAAACAGTGTACCAGTGAATGTAAACTTTATTACATTGATTGCTACTTTAAGAGTTTTTTTGCGTATTTTATTAAAGGTAAATTACCATTAAAATCCCTTTTATACTATGTTACGCGTGGCCCAGTGGTCAGCATGAGATTCGTTCACCTTCCTTTGTTGCAAAATAGCATTCGACACTTTGGAGCAGTGGGTATGTTAAAAGTATGTTAAAGTGAGTATGTTAAATTGCACTATTCGATTAGTATAGCTCAAGATTTGGCAGTGGTGTCAGCTCTATTCCTTCTAGTTATGTCAAAAATAGGGACTGCTGGTGCAGATAGGCCTTGTGTAGTTCAGCATAAATAGAAGTCACTGAGGAAAACTAAAACTAAAATAACTCAAAACGCCTTTTTTTATTTTCAGTTGGAAGAGCCAAACAAACTAGTAGCAATATAGATAGAATTGAGCTATAAGAGGTATCTATAAAAGAGATATTTAATCTACGTAAAAAGTACTTTATTAAGCAAAAATGATGTGGTGAAACTGTTGATTCACAAACTATTGTTGCGTCAGCGAGGTCACGTGACTAGTATCACGCCACCCATTTTCTAGAAATATCCTGTTCCTTCAAGAATATATTGTATATATATAAGACGGTCACAACGTGACGGTGGGTACGTAATGAGTAATTGAACTGCAGTCAGAGAGTGTGTTATTGAACTGAGCACGTGAGACGTTCGTTGTTATAGCATTTGTTATAGCGCGACTGTTGAAATTAAGAGTATTGCAAAGTTATATTCAGAAAGAATAAACCAGTTTTATTTAAGAAAGGACTTGTGTCGCTAAAGTTTCGTCGGAACGAAGTTACGGAAAATTAACTAACAAACGGAGACGTAACACTATGTTGAAAAGTACTGATCATACTGATCACCTCTAGTTTTTGAATTATGACAGATTTATTCAAAATATTGTTATATATCGTAAAAATAACAACCTTTTCTTTAATAACTTTATTTGTTCATTGAAAATTGCATTTAAAAATGTATAATCTGCATACTTTTATAAGTTTCTTTCATGTTCACATCATGAGCAACAGGAATCGATGGCTTAGTTGTGCAAAAGTACAGTTTTCAGAGTATCTTTAAATGAGTCAATAAAAAGTCTCTATTCTTGAGAATAATGTTCAGTATCTAATTCTTCCATTAGTGCATCAACATTTGTACAAAAACACAAGTTATCTTGCATGCTCTATTGAGAAACAAGACTTTGGTGGCGACTTTGGTAAATTGAAATTTTTGTTCCTGGAGCTAAAACATTCCCATTACTGTAAACGAGAGCAAAGAAGTTCCCTATGCTGCTTTTATAGAGACAAGTTACGAATCAGATCATTTGGCTCTTCTTGTGTAATCAGATGAGGCATTTTATATCGAAGTACCACAGGAATAGAATTACTAGATCAAAAAGATGAAGATGATTCATTGTCTTCATCGCAGGATATCTCTTTTGTTTTCTAATTCACTGGTGGATGTGGCACTGGAAGATCATCTCCATGAAGTACTGGTGTCATTGCACATGCAATATTTGGGTATTTAATGTATTTTTAGTTTGCCTGAATATTCAGAAACATTTGTCATGCGAAAATAACAGTCAATTAGATGATCTTATGCAGACACTGTGTAAAGTCAGATGTGTAATCTGTATAACACACATTTGGAGCCCAATGTTTTTCTTGACAACATGTTTTCCACAAAAGCAGCAAAAACTGTTTGAGTGATTTTTGCACTTTCGGACTTTACTGAACTGGAAGCAGCCAGAATTTTAAACGATTTTCTAAAAATATAAAATAATTTATGTCTATAGAACTAGAGTTTAAAAATTTTAAAAACAAAGTTTTGAAGAATTTGATTACATCGCGGGTATGATGTGAGGAAGAAGATCAGAGACGAAGTGATCAACTGAGTGAATAAGAGGCAGTTGAGATAGAGGCGTCTTGACTCTGCCCCTTTTATGCTCAGTCGAGGGACTTCTTGAATGTTCTAGCAAACTGAGCACCTGATTATTTCGTGATTTCATGGCGGAGCAGGTGAGTGTTGGAATGAAGCAAAAGTGGTGCAATTCTCTACGATTATATCGAGAACAAATAGCATATATGAACAATATAATTGAAAGTTTACACCAATACAATACAGTCAATGTCTGAAGTTATCAAAAATGTATGTCTTTTGCGCATTAGACTGTCCAAGTATACTTAATTTCACAGCATAAAATCTATAGTTGATTGCATGGTTTTTTCACACAGTGCTGATAAAATATTGAGATATTACAATAACTCAAAATCTAGAGGTGATGTACAAATTCTGACTACATGTTTGAAATCAGCACCATCAAACTACTCCGAATCACTTGAGTTTTCTTCAGTAGCAAATTTATTGCTGTCCAGTGTAAGCAAGGAAGCTTATTTGGTCTAACTGTGTGATAAAAATAGGTAGTGACTGTTTTTTATTACAGTACTTGTGATTAGTCTGTTATATGCTTCTTCGTTTTTTAATATGTAATGGCTAATAAAGCAGAATGTGATAAAAATATCTGCAGTCAGTTTAAAACATTCAGTAATTTGTTGAAAATTAGAATTCGTAATGATCGCCTACAAACTAATAGGATTAATAACAAAAAAAAAGTCGTGAGTTTCACTGTGGAAATACTGAGTCATAATATTTAAATATCATAAGTAACCCCAAAATACTGTTGATATGATTTACCACTTAAGAAAAATATTTTTGGAGTGGCATTTTTGCAATCTAATGGCCACCTATTGACAGGAAAAATCTTCTGAAGGACTTTTTGAGGCAGTACATAACCTATCTGAACGGGTCTTCAATAAATAAGGTTGTAATTTATTTTTTTAATTCCAAGAAACGAGAATAATTTTAAGACTTCTAAACGGTAATATTATGTAGGGTTAGTAATAAATTTTATTTTAATTTTACTGTGCATGGTAGAAGATTATATTAATGCTAACTTCAACTTTCAAGGTGAAATTAAGGTTTTCTGAAACTTAGAAACTGAAAGGCTAAATTAGTAAATAACTTTTGTGTTCTTAAGTTGAGATATTGCAATTATTTGTATATATATATATATATATATATAATGTATATATATATATATATATATATATATACA